CAACTTATGCAGATCCTAATCTTACATTATATAGTCCTGGAAAACATTGATATACAATAATATTAATCAAGTTTGCAATGAATAAAGTAAAATAAGAAAATAAATATCTGCTGGAAGAACATATATAGCGATTATTTACATGATTTACATTCTTCAAACTTATCCTCATCTTCATTGCCATATTCACAATGTTTCGGCTGTTGTACGCTTCCCAGCCTTCTTCAGGTGATTGGAATTTCGAACCAAACCTTTTATTTGTGAATGAATATGAGGATAACAGTACAAATAATGTAAATAATCATAATACCTCATCTCAGAGATATAGGTGGATATATAGAGTGATATTAATGATTTAAAAAAAACCTTACCTGATATTGCTAGAGAATTGAAGAAAATCATTAGAAGTTGGTGAAGAAGGATTTGTTGATATGTTTGAAGGGCTTTGTATGTAAAATGGGTTATCACTTACTTTCAGAATGGTTAATATATTTTGCTACTTTCAGTTTCCACAAAGGTAGATATTGACTGTTTATAAAATTAAATTACAACCCATCTTTACATACACACATCTTTCATTCACCCACACAGCATACATAATCAAACAAATCCTATAATCCATCAGCTGTAGATTATCTGATAACTGGTCAAGTGAAAACTTTCAACAAAGTTTAAAACTTGTATGAAATTTACATTTACAACTAACAACAAAAAATCCAACTGAAAAAGAAACAAATAATTCAATTTACCATATAATTAAAGAAGTAAAAACAAATATAGGTAAAAATCAAACTTATAGCAAAACTCTTCCCCAAATCAAGCAGAGAGCATAAGATATTCAACAGAAATACTCTAAAACTTAGTTGCACTGAAAACGTGCTATAAATCATAAAAATCACAAACACTCACAATCATTGTCTGTAACTGCAGAACAAAGTATGAATACCCACTAAATGGTAACTGCCTACAAACTAATCTAATAAACCAAGCTACTGAACAATCAAAAGGTAACTTGGAAAAAAAATATATATATATATATATATATATATATATATATATATATATATATATAAAAAATAACAGGTGGTCTCTAGAAACATAGAAGTTACTCATCATTTAACAACAAAAAATATGCAACTAGCACAACTCTTTATAAACATATTTGGAAACTCAACAACACAAATCAAAACACATCAAAAGTAACATAGAAAATGAAAAATAGCACCAACTTAGAACAGCACCTCAATCTAACCTTTGCTTAAAGGAGAAAATAGCAATGATCACAAAACTAGAGCACATTCCAAAATGCAGACAGAACAAAAATAAATTCCTACTACAAGTTATATAACCACATTATGACTCACAAAACTAAATAAGATCCTATCACTAAAATCTATGAAACTATATGTCAAATTTGAAAATTTAGAACCAAAGTTATAAATAAAATATAAATAAAATAAAATAGATAAAATAAACACTAAATAAATATATAAATAAAATGAGCAATCTCAATGCAATTGACCATAAATAATCCTTAAGATTAGTCTAACAGAAAAGAACTTGGAGTGACCAGTTTTCTCCTCCCCCCACTTCCCTTACTTAATCAATGCCATATATAGTTATTTTCTAAGCGTAGCTTAGATGTGGCACAAGGCTGAAAGTATGGAACACCTAGTGAGGATCGAACTCACTTTTCAGTCGTAACTGATCTAGCGAGACAAGCTTGCTAACCATTACACCACGCCGAGGTGCCCGATCAATGACATATATAGAGAGCCTTCTAAGCAAGTAGTGGTACTTACTCTAAAGCTTCCATTGAAGAATGAAACTAACAGTCACCATGCAGCTATGTAGTTGATTTCTATGTCCATACTCTCTCTCTTATATATATATATATATATATATATAGTACAGGTAATAAATCTGTTGGTATATAATCCAAGTGGATCCTAGTAATATAAAATATTAAAACTGATCCACAAAAAGAGCTCAATGTATTTATTATAACAAAGCCAATAAGTAGTATTACATAACAAAATTCAAAATTACCACATATGGGGGGGGGATAGATCTATTTCAATTGATGAAAAGTACGTCAGTCTTATTCAACCCCGGTGTACAGACTGAGTTCGTTCATGTCGGAATTAGAAATTTAACTTTGACAGCTGTCAAAAAATTGTTACAGAATTTATCCATTTCAATGTTTCAATCAGATGAAATGCCTGAAACAGTGCTTAGGGGAGGCTGTGGAGGGTTTAATCAAATTTAAACTTCTCTAATATAGATTTTACTTTATCACTTTGTAATTCTCTAACTCTTCAAATTTTGAATGTATAACTATTTTTAATTTCTATATTTCCACCATATTAATCTGATAATTGTCCTTTGTTCTAAGAACTCTCTTTCCTTTTATCTTTTATACCTCTTTATCTATATATTTTTTTTTTCCTAAAGTTTTTTTTTTTTTAGGTTTTTTAAATATAACTTTGTATGATTTGATTTAATTTATCTTTAAAGTTAAAATATATAATTTCTTATTATATTTTTATATTTAAATATAAATTATGTAACTATGACTTATTTTTTAATCTTTTCAATATATCCTATTTTAAAGTATAATTTATTTTTTTGAAGAGTATTTTAAGTAGGAACCTAACCTTATATATATATATATATATATATATATATATATATATATATATATTTTTTTTATGAAACTTCCTTTTCAGCCCTCTTTTAGTTTAAAATTATTACCTTGTTCTTTATATAACCCCAATTTAATTGTATAAGGTTAATATCCGGGTTTAATTTTATGAAACCTCTTTCCTTTAATGCTAATACCTTCCATTTTGAGCATTTTGTCTGACTGAAACATCAAAATGGATAAATTCTCTATCAATTTTTTGATGGCTGTAAAAGTTAAATTTCTAATTCCTACACAAACTCAGTCCATACACTGAGGTTGAATAAGACTGACATAGTTTTTGTCGGTTGAAATAGATTTATTCCCACCATATGAGGTAATTTTGAATTTTGTTGTGTAATATATATATATATATATATATATATATATATATATATATATAAGTGAATATTGAAGTCAACACTCAGAGCGACAGGCTGTTTCATGTTAGGCACAATCATTGTCAGGCGGCCTGAGGATTGCGTCTAGCATGAAACAGCCTGTCACCTCTAAGTGTTGACTTCAATGTTCACTTTTATATTTACATATGCTCTATCTCTGATATTGAGTACTTTATCCCATAAATATAGCATACCTTAAAACTATATTTCTTCATATATATATATGATATATATATAATTATAATACTGTTTTAGCATAAGCTGACTCTGTTCAATGTTGTTGATTTGTATGTGATCTAGGAATTTGCAAGCTTTTTCCCTATTAATATTTAATTGTTCTTTAATGAATATTTTTGTGTTTATGTAAAGTTTATTAAACTAATTAACCTATTGCTACAATATCAACAAGAGTGACTGTATCTGATGTTATACTTCTGCTACAGACTGGGCAAACATGTATGCAATATTCAGTGCACTGCCATTAAGGGCAAAAACTATACTGAAATCTCGGCTACTTGTGTTAGTTTGCTGTACTGTTATTTGCGTGAGTTCTTCTGAGTTGCTTCTTTTGTTCTTATTTGAATATCAACCCTGTCAGCATGAGACATTCTTTCTCAAGAATTCATGTTTGAATCTCTGGCACTAAATTTTACAGTATGTACCAACAATATTTTGAAAAATTTCAATCTTGTCATTTATAAAAACTGAATTAATGAAAAGCCACATTAACTGTTCTGCCTTGGCTGGGATAAAAAAAATACTCATCATTCAGTGAGAATATCATAGTGAAAAAAATTTCAGAGAAGAATTTTAGAGCATTTTCTTCAAAATAATTTTTTAATCTGGTGTCCATATTTTCACCATTGAGTAAAAAAGAAATAATATTTTTTCTTTTGGCTGTGAATACCTATGCATGTACCAAATTAATATTTGCAGCTACTGATATTAAATATTTACAAAATATTGAAATATATATTGAATCCATGAAATATGTTTGTCTATAATAGTCATGGAGTATTCACATTAGTGCTGTGTACAATCAAGGCTATTCGTAGTTAGTCCTGTTTACATAAAGGGCATATCTTGGGATAAAAACTTTTAGAAATAACAGTAAAACATACCAGAATCAAGAGGGGTTATTTTGAAAAATACATGGAAGCACATCCATTACGGCTCTGAAAAATTAGAAAAAAAATTTATTTACTTTATTGTACTTTTATAATATTATAAATGTAGTTGTCACTTAAGCAGTCCAAGAATTTCGTTTGTACAAATTATGGTAGTTTTACTTGAAATTTTTTATGAATAACATTTTTTTTTCATAATGCTGATAAAATATGTGGTTTTAGAATAATGAAAAGAAATTTACTTCAGAGTTTTTGAAACATTGATTTATATTATAAAGAATTAGTTTTTGGTTATCAGATTTCGTAAAATAATGAACAACTTAAACACTGTTTTATGAATTTGGTACTTTTTATATCATATAGGAAAACATATGGGTAGCATAGAAAAGGGCTTTCTCTAAGTAATGCCAAAACATTTGGCTTAAATAACTATTAATTTATTTTTTAATGTAGATTCCTATAAGTTAATTAAATGTTAATTTCCATTAAGTTTATCTGATTTTTAAATGACTTCTATCATTTGACATAATTTTGCAGAGAATTAAAATAGAAAATAGTATGTAAAAAAAAAAACATACTAAAAATGTTGAAAATACTTTTTGATGAATTGATCTTATTGTTTATGTAATTATAGATGGCTACATACTGACAATTTTTCTTATTATATGCTCTCAAGAAATGTTTTCCATCAGACCAGAAAGACCAGAATTAAAGCATTAATTGACAGAATAATATTAAAAAAAAAACCCTAAAAAACCCAAATTTTACTATAATTTTGTGTATATCTTGTAGATTTGTGCCTAACTGTGCTGAGCATGAAAGATGCTGTGGAGAAGACTCTGGTGTCATGGTAGATGATCATTCAGAAGAGGAGGAAGAGGATGACAGCCATATAACATCATCTTCTGCCCTTGGAGCATGTTGTGGCTCTGCTTCTTGTACAGGAGTTGAGGGTACCAAGTTTGCTGATGACTGTCGAATCCATCACATTGTAGACCACAATGCATATCGTCCACGTCATAAGGTAGAATTGTGTTCAATCCATTTTCGTACTTCTTTTATTGCTTTTGTTTCAATAAAGCAAAGTTTGGATGGAATTTTTGCGAAGAGAAATTATTATTATTATATACTTTACTATTTGGACTAGTATGCTCATCTTAATTCTTAAACTCACAATGCTTCAGCCATTTTACCAAGGCTTCAAACTAACTTCTTTTCCCATTGTCATGAAACCATTGCAAAAAACAACTTTAACCTGAAAAAGAAATAAAAACCATTTGTATTCAAAATTTTCTTAACTCTTTTATCATTTATAGCCAGTAGTAGCATAATAAAAATGCCATGCTAAAATATCAATGTTTTAAAAATGAAGAAATATAAACACAGTTAAATTTTACTGTAATTTTTATAAAAAAAGACAACTTTATTTTTATTTAAATATTTCAGTTAAATCACTTTGAATAATTTTACATGGAAATATTCTTATTAGGCTCATTGTAACTTTATCATACTTTAAGAATTATGCTCCATGCATTCATTTTCTATATGAAGAATATTAGCGCATTCGAACTATTCACAATCAAAAAAGTTTTTGAAGTGATCAAAAAATTTTAATTTACAATTACCTGTCTCATATTGTAACTAAATTTTCTGCTTACCATTTTTTAAATTATCCTTTATATTTTTTATTTACTTTAGGATATGAAGCAAATGTAACACAGAAATGTTGTTTGCTAATGGTGCATTCAGATTTTTAACCAAAAATTGACAGGAAAAACAATTATTTTGATTATTTTTTAAAGAATACAAAATTAGTTCTTGCAATTAGATTCTAGCAGGTTTTATATTTCAAAGATAATATAAATATCTAAATTTAAGACCTTAAACCATCATTTGAGTTTCATTCACCAGTTTAAAAAGAAGTAGTAGTTTTGTTTATTTTTTGTTTCTTTCTTTGTGTGCATCATTCATTAAAATCCCACTACTACAGGGCTGAAGTATTTTTTTTATTTTAAGCTTTTAGAATAAATATAATAGAATTTTAATTAAAAGTTTTGTATCATCTCACAGCATCTTGACAAAAAAAAACAAACCAGTTTATCTCAAACTAATGTTTTATCATTCACATGACAACAGAGTGGCATTAATTTTGAGCTCTACATTGCATCCTTCTCTGATTTACACCAGGTATCTGGCTTTGTACTCAGTAACCTTCTTTGAATTTTCTTCCATAGGAACAGTGTGTTCTCATTCCATTTTCCATGCTTAGGGAATATTTTGTATTAGTTTGTACTCATCAGTCTTGTTTTTTTTGTTTTTTTTCCTGAAGCAGAGTATGTGAGTTTTCAGCACTACCGGACCCAGGTATTGAACTCATAATCTCTGAGTGTGGTAGTGCTGAAAAGATACATATTCTGGTTTAGTGGAAGAAATGAACCAACAACTCAAAGGTAAATAAGACTGATAAGTACTGAGTGGTTTGAAATATCCCTCAAGCATGTAAAGCAGAACACTATATCTGTGGATTGAATAAAATCTTTGATTTCAAATTCCAAGAAGGTTAGTGAGTTCAAAGGCAGACACCTAAAGAAGGTGGGAGGGTACAAAGACTGAAATGTCACTATGAGAACCAAGATAAGCATACTAGTGTGAATAGCAAAGCAAATAATAAAGCAAATTTTTTCATGAACTATTTCTTACTATTATGCTGATTAATAACCAAATATTTCCTACTTGCTTTGCTAAATTTATTGGCAAATTTGCTTTTTAACGCCCGCGTTAAATATCTCTTAAAATTTTCCCAAATTGTCATAATTCTGTGTAAATGTACATGCTGAACTCGAATTAACAATTAACTTATGAAGAAACCTACAAATTTGTAGTTATCGACAATAAAAGTTCGAACTCAGTCGCGTTCAGCTGTCAGTCATTACTGGCCTTGTTTAACTACATTCAGTGCGGTACATTTTGCTTGCGGAGACTTAATTAAGAGCCTTTTTACTGCTCTTAACCGAACTTACACGACTAAAATTACTCTGCATTTATGTTATGTTGTAAAGCGATGACAAGTGTTGTTTCTTTTTTTCAAATATTGTTTTTTTTTTATAATAAATCTTTCTTTTTAAAAAAAAAAAATTAAATAATAAATAAAGCTTTTCTTTTACATTAAAAATAAAACAAATAATAATTAATGTGCAAAGTTTGCATGAACTTTGAAAAGAGCATGATTATTTACAAAATAAAAAGAAATATTCCTTCCTAGCATTTTTTTATTTTGTAAATAAAAAATCATGCTCTTTCCAAAGCGCATTAATTATTATTTGTTTTATTTTTAATGTAAAAGAAAAGATTTATTTTATTATTTAATTTTTTTTTATTTAAAAAGAAAGATTTACTATAAAAAAAAAAAACAACATTTGAAAAAAAAAACAACACTTGTCATCGCTTTATGGCATAACTTAAATGTGGAGTAATTTTAGACATGTAAGTTCGGTTAAGAGCAGTAAAAAGGCTCTTAATTAATTCTTTTCACACAAAATGTTCCGCACTGAATGTAGTTAAACAAGACCAGTAAAATTTGGGAAAATTTTAAGAGATATTTAGTGTTGGCGATAAAAAGCAAATTTGCCAATTTATTTTCATTTTGCCTTATTCAATTGATTTTTAAATCACTTTTTTAGTCATTGTCGCAATTCTTTATTTAGAATTTGGCCCATATTCATAAAGATGGATTTTCTAAATATGTTTATTATAATTGTCACTTTTTCTTATTCAATAATTGATTGAATTTTTCATTTCTTTTGATTTCTCATTCTACATCATTAAATAAACGGTATTCGTAAATTATAGCTTCTGGCTGACTTTTCTCCATCAGTTTTTTTCTTCTTTTTTTTTTTTTACTATGAGATGCGGTTAATGATATAATTCTGTTCAATAAGTGATTGCTGCTGCTTTATTGCACATCTTCTGTTGCTGCAGGTAGACTGACTGAATTTGTCTCTCCTCAAGTTGTATATCATTTAGATCGCTAATACATATCCAACCAGACACTACATCTGTAGAGATTATACATTGGCTTGGATGTTCTGAATTTAGTTAACCCTTTTCCATGTGCTCAGCTGGTCCCTTCTATTGTGTCTGTCCAACTTGGGTGAGATGTTTACTTATTTTATGAATAGTTTTTTCCTGCTTCAAAATCTAACAGCAAAAAATAAAAAAGTGTAACATTAAGTTCACCTGCTTTACTTTTTGTTATATATGTACAGCCTTTTTTTTTTATTGCTGTCTTTATCATCAGTCAATATCTTTTTACTTCATAAACTCTAAAGAGATTTTATTCTAATTATTATTTGTTTCTTGTATGCATTTATTCAAAATGTTTTCCTCAATTCTTCTTATAGCTTGAAAGTGTTTGCATGAAATCAATCGCCGTCACAACTTTACACTTTTTATTGATTCCCTTTCAATCAGTATTATCCTTGGTTTTCAGTATTAAGTCAGGGTCACTGGAAGTTTTCTGCCTCTTCAGCAGAACATAAAATTGTTTGAAAATTTAAATGAAAGATGTTCTTAAAAATATTTAAAAACAAAATCATCATCATCATCATCTCTAGCAACTGCCCTATGTTCCTTTGAAAACCTTTCTTTAAGAAGTATGTAATTTCTAAAGAATAAATAAGAATTACAGAAAAATTTATTCTAACTTTTTTTTATTAAAATTCTGCTATTGTGCAGATATGTTTCTGTGAAATGGCTTGTTTAGCGCATCTCTCTATTGTATATAAATGTGTGTGTGTGTATAAAAAAAAAATCTTATTTAATTTTAACTCTACATTTTTTAGTTAAGTGGTGAATTTTAAATATTTACATTATTTTAATATTTTAAATTTTATTTCTGCTAATAAATCTCTTTTCAGTATAGATTTAATGTGTTCTATCTTTATGGATTAGTCAAAAATACATAAATTTACTAATGTTGGAAAACTGATTTTCTTAAAATTGGAGTTTTGTAATATTTTAACAACAAATAAGTGATTGTTTATTATTGAGATATAAATGACTCTAAAAATACTGTTGGTGATATTATTTTAATGTTTTCAAAATATGGTTTTACTCTTAAATTTTGATGAAAATTGATGGCAACTAATTTGCCAAAATACTAAAATGCATTCCGTTTATGGCTTCTGAGTAATTATTAAAAAGTTGTGAGATTGTAAATAATTTTGTTTAAAAAATGCTTATTGATATTTTGAATTTGTTTTTAAGTGAATAACAGAATTGGTTTATGCATAAATCAAAAAAATGTATTTTTGTTTTTTGTAAGCTTTCACTATGAAAATGAAAAAATAAAAAATCAACTTTGGAAGAGAAACTAGAATTATGTGTAGAATTTTAAATGGTATTTTGTGCCAAATAATGAACTATTTTTGTAAAAAAAAAATATTTGTAAAGGAAATTTTATTTGAACTTTTTTTTGTAATCATCTTGTAAAATCTGAAATTGAATCCTTTTATAAAAGTTGATAACTAAATAAGTTCTATATTTTTATGATCACCATTCTTCAGGATTAGTTTCTATTTTATTTGGCATAACAAAAACAACTGTTAGAAAAATATTTACATAAAATAGTTTTCATTTTAATTCTTCAAGGAGTTTGAATATTTCAAGATTTAAATGGCAAAAAATGAATAAATAAATTTATATAAGTTATAGGAAAACACATCTTTGACTTAAAGATTTGTTTCTCTATTTTTGTTTTTGTATTGACAAGTTATTCTTTTATAAAGTTAATTTCTGATGTTCCCACTTCACATAAAACCTAATTATTTTCTGCCTTTTTTCTTTATTTGTTTTCTTGAAAGCTATTCAACAACCTTTTATCTGATGTGATGACTTTAAAACTCAAAAGATTTTGTCATTTTCTTATTGCTCAATAGTTTCATTTTTATCTCCTACCTGAAAGCTTTCTTGATATTTAACAAAAATGATTTGTAAAATTGAATTTGTGTTCACCAATAAATGTGTACATGGCTATATTTTTGCATTTTGTCCAGTTTTTCTAAAACTTATCAGGGAAATGCTTGCTATGTGTTTGTCTCTTTAGAATGGTTACATCATGGAAATAATTTTGCTATAAGTGGCCTTAAAAAGTGATTTCAGTTTTCAATATTCTGTGCTTTTAGTCAGCTTAGACTTTATGGTTAATCCAAATACTTAAATTGATTAAAATTATTTGAAATTGTGTTAATTTACAGTATTTTTTGTACATAAATATTCTTTAATATTTTGATTACAATATTAGCAATTTATATTTTGATTACAATATTAGCATTTAATGTTTTGATTACAATATTAGCATTTATTGTCTGTTAAAGTGTAAATTTTGTATTCTTGTAATTATTTTCACTTAACTTTAACATCCAAGTGTCTTGATTTATTATTAACACAATAAATTTTAATTTCCATTTTAATTTACAAAAGATTCGTGCAGTGCTTTTTATAGAAAATTTCATCTTAATTTTTATTTAAAAATGTGTAAATGTATTAAGGAAACCATACCTGAGCATATGGAATCATGGATTTAACAAAATTGTTGTTTGCTGTATTTACTTAATGTTTTTTTCTGGAAATATAAAAATAAAACCTTAACTAAATAGCTGAAGCAAATTTTCATGTTTATCTAATTAAAAAAAAAAATCATGTTTGTTATCTTTGAAAATTCTATTAATAATTTTAGTGTTTAGTAATTCTGGAAACTTCTAGGAACATATATCCTCTTAGCTGTCATTCATTTTGGATCAAACATGAGTCTTTGTTATAGATTTTCTAACAGATTAACTTAATTCTGTCCTTTGTGTGTAGGTCAATAAGATTATTTCAATGAAGGAAAAGTATTCACTTTCATGGTTACATTTTAAATGAGAGATAATCTGATCATAAATGTTTTTAATATAACAAAAATTCTACTTGATTTCATACTATTTCTAAGCACTAATATTTTCTCATACTATTTATATTAGTGATATTAAATGATAAAAAATGTTTTCCTCATTTTACTCAGGTACTTAATATTGATGTTTTACTTGAATTGTATCATTAGTAGGAAAGTTATTTAATGACTTTGAACACCTTTATCTTTAATTTTTAAATTCCTAATTTTTTATAGTTCAAATATAATATGTATGATTAAAATACTGTGAGATGATTTAAATTATATGCATAAAAAATATTTTGTGCATTTAATGCAAATAAGTTTGTCAAAGGAAATTCTTTTATGATTCTCTTTTCTAATATTTTCAATAGAATATATTGTCATGTTATTTTTCAGTGGTCAAAACTCAACAAGAAAAACCCTAGCTCTAGGCAATCAAATTATGCAGTTTTTCATCAAGAATTATGTATGCAACTGGAGAAGTTATGTTCAAACCGCCCATCAAGGAAAAATAGAGAAGAAGATGGTCAAAAGTTAGCTTGCCTTGATCAATGGAAAAAATGTGAAGTGGAGGGTTACCTAAAGAATATTAATGAAGAAATTGATGATCCCTCCAGCAGGTACCTCCTCACTACTCCGAAGCAGCAACGTGATGTCTCTGGTTCTGATGAGGAGGGGGATAATCTGGAGCAGGTCGCAGGTGAGTAGAATTGATTTTTATATTTCTTACTATTTTCAAGCATTCTTTATTTAAAGTCATATTAATTTAGTGATAACTTTCAAAATTTTTCATTTTGAATTTTATGCTTTTAGAAATATTAATAGTTTTGGAAATCTCTTTAAGAACATTTAGTCGGATGAAATCTTGTTTTTCTTTTTATTCTATCCATTCAGCCTTACAAAAAAAAAAGAAGCATTTTGTCTTTATTTTATTGTTAGCATCTTCACTCTAGCACCATAATGTGAAACTTTAACAAATCTTTAAGATCAATGGAGAATTATGATCAATAAATAAATATTTTTTTAATGTGAATAACAAAATTAAAATTTATTCTATACTAAGCAGTCTGTGCTAAGTTAATACTAAGTGTTATGTGACTTGATGTAAAAATCAAGAACACAATAATCAATCTATTGTTAATTTATATTTTCATTATTACTAAATACTAAATAATTACTAAATTTTAGCTTATATAAAAATGATAAAAAGGATCATTACAAAGCCACTTATATAAAAGTAATAAAAAGGAACACTTTAATTATTATAATAATATATTTTTTTAATTTAATAATTATAAAGAATTATAAGGATCTTAAGAATTTTTTTTCTTGCATTGCAAGTCTTTTTTATGCAGTTAGAAAATTATTTTTTCATTCAGTTAATCAAGAAACTTTGAAACAACCTTAATTTCATTTTAAGCTGTATTCTTTACAAGTATTAAATTCATTAGTAGAACTTTGAACTGCAGTACAGAGTGGAACAAGTGCTTTTTAAAATCTTGTTTAGGCATATATGTTAAGACATCACAAAACAAGTTATATTGTATGCTATGATATGTCTACATTGGTTTAGAATTATCAGTAAGTGCTAGTTGTTTTATAATACAAACACTAGAGGCCTAAATTTCATGGTGTCTTGAATATATATATATATATATATATATATATATATATACACACTATGTAAGTTTTGTAAAGCTATATAAGTACATCCACTGCAATAGAAGTGTTAAAGTTATTGATTATACGCAGTGTTTATATTTTAGTAAAGAGAAACACAATTAGAAACATTAACATAAAATATGCAAATGGCTGAATAATGACAAATCTTTTGAAAATATTGTTATTTCAATGGAATTTTCAAAAATCTTAAAGAGATAAGACTATTAGAGAAATGAGAGAAAATGGAGAATTTATATTCATAATTTTTTTTTCTTACTCTCTTTCTATTTGTTATTAACCATATAAACTTACCCATGTTGGATTTCCAAAGTCAATTGTTGAAAGGAAGCACCATTTAATCCAAGCACTACAAAACTTCATGAATAATTTTCTAAGAACAATCACTGAACATTGTAAATAGACATTCCTGCAATGTCTGAAAACTTTGGAATTTTTAAAGATCAAATAGGCACTCATCTGATGATTTGACTTAATAAGACAATCAAAGAAAGGCTACTGTGAATGGGCAAAGTCCGGGGATTGTAATATTTTATTCAGGTGATTAGTTTAACTTTGCTGTTGGACATAATTAAGAGGGTATTCTGAGTTGTATAATTCAAAACAATGTTATATTAAAATTTATAATTGCTGTGTGATTAAAGCCAATTTACTTTACTTCTTACACTCTATGGAACATTAGTATGGTTTTAAATAATTGCCAATTTAAAACTTTCAATTTCCCATTAAAGATGTTTTATAATTAATGTAGAATTGGTTACACTTACCTAAAAAAATAAAATTTTTTTGTCTCAATAGTCTTATCTTAAAATAAAAAAAAATGAATCAGGGGACATAATTGGGTAATGACATAATAATATTAAGGAGATATTCGAATTGTTTCCCTTTAACTACTTTAATGCAAGGTAATTTCGAATAGGTGGTAATCATACACATAATCATCTTACTGCAAGATTCTCATTATTTAAAGATGCTGTTACTTTTTCTTCAGAAGTTGAGACTGCTGGTCTTAAGGATAACACAGAGGATGCTGAAGATTCCCATGACTTCCATTACAGACTTCCATGGCTTGGTGGGTAAAAGGTTTTTTTTTATAACTTGCCAATATATATATATATATATATATATATATAAATATATATATATATAAATAAAAAGAAAGAACAGTAAAATATATAATCCGGTGTTCTTATAGATATTTTTATTTTTACAAAATAGTGCTCAATGTAAATTTACAGAGCATTAATATTATAAATTAATTGATTTAAAATAGGGACCTCCACTTTTTTTTCGATACCTAACTTTAAAATAAATTTTAAAAAAATGAAAAACATGCTTTAAGATTTCATTTTAGCTTTAATTGAAAGTTTAATCATTAAATTTATTATTTCCATTAAGTAAATAATTCTGGTGTATTTCAGATAGAAACTATATACATTGAATGTCAAATTTAGTATTGAATTTTAAATTTTCTTAAAAATCCCGCCATTTTCTTAATTTTAAGAAATTTGTAAACAAACACAAATTTATCGATTTTAAAAATATTTAACAAAGTTTCTGACACGTTATTTTAGTAAAATTAGAAAATTTAATGTTAAATTAATCTGATTTAAAAGAATTATTACTTCTAGCATAAAAAAAGTAGTACAACCAATTATTAACGATTGGTACTGGTGTTTTTATCCAATATTTGATCTACGTGTTGAGTGACGAGTGACGACAGCTACTACGGATGGCCCCAATGAAAATTATTAAAAATCTGAGTGAACGCTTTTAGTTTCATTAGAATAAAGGGACAAAACTCTATAATAATGGCAATAAAATTAGATAATTCTTTAAACTTTTTTTATTATTTAGATAATTCTTTAAACTTTTTTTTATAATTTAGATAATTCTTTAAACTTTTTTTTTAATTATTTAGATAATTCTTTAAACTTTTTTTTTACTATTATTTAGATAATTCTTTAAACTTTTTTTTATTATTATTTAGATAATTCTTTAAACTTTTTTTTATTATTATTTAGATAAATCTTTAAACTTTTTTTTTATTATTATTTAGATAATTCTTTAAACTTTTTTTTTATTATTTAGATAATTCTTTAAACTTTTTTTTTATTATTTAGATAATTCTTTAAACTTTTTTTATTAATTTCTGCAAACACGTTAACGATGTGTATCTGAACTGGACAGAGGAGTGAAATAACTGCGGTGCCAGACGACACAAATCACGTGACCTTTTTAAGGATTATGTCGCGTATACATTTCCATACATAGAAATTATGAACGTTTTTCAATAAAAATTTATTTTTAAAATTATTTTTTAAAATATTTGTGTGTAAACGACTGTTATGTGCTTTTTCAAAGTTCGATTTGTAAATTTACATTTTCATTAACGTTATCATTGCATTATTTGGGTGAAAGAAATAAAGAATTTTAAAAGATTTTTGAAGTATTTAAGACGTTAATGAAAAATTTTTAAAATGTGGAAAAAATTTGCAAAAATACATTATTCATCGAAAAATTTTATTTCTTCACAAAATAATGTCCTTAATATAACGTATCTACAAAAACAGGTGTAAGCTTTTCTAATTAATTAAATGTCATACTTTTTTTACATTTTTTTTTTACAATTCAAATTTGATTTTCTATAAAAAGAATTAAATGTTTTACAAAAAAACTGGTGATTTACTTTCTACAAACATTCCTGTTTATAACTAATAAAAAAATCCCGGCGTGCGTATTTAATTTCTTGAAATTTCTTGAAAATATGTAAGTGGGTGGAAACATGTTTTAAAAAAATCTCTTTTAACAAGATTTTTGAAAAAAAAATTCCAAAAAGATTTCATTCATTTCTGAATAAGTCCTGAAAATTTCATTAAAATCCAACAATTATTTGATTTTTGCAAGAATTTTCCTAATTAACGTGTGTTTTCCATGGAAAAGCGCAAAATAAAACAAACCTTTTTTAGTACTGTCGCCATTGTCGTAAAAAAAACATAATTTTTAAGCAAAATTTTCTACGTGCTAGAAAGGAGTAAAAATTTCAAAAATATTTTTAAAATACTTTGGTCTTTCCTCTTCATAACAACATAAACATAACATAAACAAAACTTTGTTTTCGTTGATTTATGAGTCATTTTTAATCGTGATATGCCGATTTTTTACGTGACCTAATGGACATACCTAATTTAAAATATGGTTTTTTTCGTTACACAGTTCTAACCAATCCTGGAGGATGAAATGGAACTAATGTCTTTAATTTAATTACAAAATCAAATTCGGGGCTTTTAGTTTCCATTTTTGAAACATGGTTAGAACTGTGTAGCGAAAAAACCATATTTTAAATCAATTAATTTATAATATATATATATATATATATATATATATATATGCACACACACACACACACAGCTTCTTTAGTACTTACTTATTGAGTAACCTCAGGTATCAGGAATTGACTCTTGGTGCAGTAGGAGAGGTGCTGCTTGTGTGTATGGCTCCTTTGAGCCGTGCATATTGTTCTTTAAATCAACCCCAACCATGTATGGTTAGGGTTACTTGCAAAAAGAGGATATACACCCACCCACTCAAACAGAATGTCGCATAAGGCTGTGTTTAAGGAGGGAATCTTATGTGTGCTTATAAGATTAGTAACAAAAATTGGCACACTCCTACTTCTTCTTGTACTGCCTGGAAAATGGTAATGTTAATATTAGTTGTCTCCTTATAAGGAAACATTTGACAGTCATTGACCAGGCAACCAGTGCTGTGTTTGGTTAAAATTTATAAAATCTTACTCTTAAAACAATTTTTCAAGAAAATAGGTATCTCAAGTCAGGTATCTGTTATCACTCTTTCCTGTACTGATGGGAGTTTCCTTCCAAACCTTTTGTTTGAAGTAGTGTGGAATGTTAGAATCTTGATCATGTAATTATTCTCTCTTCAAGTTACGTGTGTGCTATCCATTGTAGTTATTGCTGCTGAGGTCTACCTCTAGTTTTAGGATTTCATTTATTGTTGACATGAAAAAACCTATTCATTTTTTATCTCAGCTCTTAATCTTGTAAAGGAAAATTTTTGTTGTATTCCTGATGAGCCAAATTGTTAAAGTTATTCTCAGTTGTTGGTTCAAATTAAAATATCTTTTGGAATATCTCTTTAAGACTTTTCTGATATTTTCATGTAGGGGATTTGTTTACAACTCTTGCTTTTTTAATGAGTCATTCTTAAGGCTTTGGCATCTTGAAGGACATTCATCTGTGGCACTAATAACATTATCATTTCTGCATTAACATATTTTTTTTTTACTTCTTATATCATTGATTGCTTTTATGAAATTCAGACAGCATGCAGTGTTGAATACGACATCATTTAAATTCTATCTCATTTGTGAATTTACTGAAGTTACCGAATAAAACCAAAATTACAACCAGTTTGCAAATGCAAATTTAGGTCTAACCATAAACTTTGATACTGGTAAAACTAGTTTGTCAGTTGCTACTAAACTTTCATCTAAAAACATAATATTACTTTTCTCTACATCTGATATTAAACTTAAGCCTAATTTAAAAGGCAATAAAAGATTATTAGATTGTAAGAAATTTAAAAAGATTTGGTTAGAATTTATCACGTTAAACTGTTTTTTTTTAATATCTTTAAAAGTTTACACTCTGTTACACTAGATTAAAAAATTCTAAATTTATTATTAAATTTTTTTTTTAATAAAATCAATTAAAAAAAAATGATGGCCATTTTATTAGTTTTTAAAATAAACATATCTTTAGAAATATTAAAAATAATGATAACCACAGTTGGATAATTTGGGAACAATTTTAGTTGACCTTTGACTAGTTAAAAAAGAAAGAAGAAAGCAAAACGTTTTCTATTTCTTTATTTGCAATTGGTATAATTGGTATAATTTAAGTAAATACTCACGTCAGTTTGTTTTTATTACTTGATTATTGAAAGCAGAAATATCCTTTCAAAATGACAAGTAGAATTAAAAGTTGCATCAAGTGTCACTTGTATTTTATGTCTTAAATAACTAATGTAGATCTTTTTCTTAATTTTCTATCATGTTTAGCCAGTAAAATTATTGACAGATTGAAGTATATCCTCACTTAATTGATTATGAAATGTGCTTTTAATTTTTTTAAAATTAAAAGCACATTTAATTTTAATTAAATTTTTTTAATTGTTTGAAGAATGAGATTTTAAGTGGGATAAAATTGGTGAAAAAGAAATAATTTAGTTGCAATATTTCAAAGTTGTGGACCAAATTTGCATATCTCTCAACCTGTAATAAGCTTAAAAGCAAATTGCAAGATGTTAAGTACCAACCAATGCAGCAACCATTATATTTGGAAATGTCACCATTTTCTAAAATCAGTAAGAAATTAATTATTTAGTTAAACTGTATTTTTAATTTAAATTTTAAGTAAACACATGCTTCAAACTCCTGATTTTTCTTTTTGTTTTTTTTTCAATGAAGGACAATTTTAAAAATCTATTTAAACAAAATTGGTTGTTAATTAAGATTTGAGTTTTGTTTTTTTGTAGATGAGACACATACTTCTCCACCTCGTCTTCAAGTCGAGGAGACAATTGCTGAAAAGACTTTGCCATGGAAGTGCCATTTGGATATTGCTAAAGCCCCTATTGCAGAAGCTGAGGTGATTGAAACTGAACAGACTCTGGCTGAAACTACGTTGCCATGGAAGCGTCAATCAACAAGGGAGCCAATCTTTGCAGCCATGTCATTGAATGTTGTTGAAGATGAACCTCAAGCTGCCGAGGCTCCATCTTGGATCAACAACCTCTTGTATCACCGCTTGAGAGATTCTGGCTCTCCGTACATGTCACCTGAGGATACCCTGACTCTTGTCCAGAACACCGTATCCCGGCCGTCGATTTTCTCGGTATTTCCTGCTGAGAAAAAACCAGAAGAGGTGGAAGTAAAGGAGAAAGATTCCACTTCTGTAACCACTGCAGGCAGACTGTTGCCCCCTCCACTTGCTGCTGAAGTTGAGCCTGAATCTATTTCTTTACCCCCTCCATGGGAAAGCCACAACAGTGCTGAGTACGAGCCACTTACCTCTCCGCATGCTACCAACACCAATATTGGTGACAAAGTTTGTAGCACAGAGTCAATGCATCGTTTGCTACCGCCAACTCATCATATCATTATCCCTTTGACACCAGGAAATACAAATGAAAGCATTTCTGATCTCGAATCGGCTGCAGCAATTGATCGTGTTGCTTTGCGTTCTCCGGCTTCAGCTCCCAACTTTCCTACCCACTGGCAGATGCTGCTACCAGCATTGCGAGACCGCAGACATTCCACCTCCTTAACAGAAGAGCAAGCATACGAAGAAGATTGCCTCCAGCGTGTCCAGAATTGGCTTGATAATGTCGAGCCAGGTCTTGATGGAGTTGTTGATCTCGATAATTTTGAGGAGCAGCACCACTTTTTCTTGTTGGATGAGGAAGATCATCTTGATGACACATATGATGCAGATCTAGAAGATGAGGACTTGGAAGAAACCATTGTGTAAGAATAAATAAATAAAAAACTATATATATATATATATATATATATATATATATATATATATATATACATATATAGACACATATGTGCTGTTTCAGTGTTGTTATTGAAGCTGAAAGAAGCATTGTTGACTTTGAAAGTTCTTTCTTTGTTCACAATTTCCATTGTTGTAACATGTTGGGGGGGTCTTCATACTTTTTTATATAAAGTTTTGGAGGAAAGAAAATATTGTTTCCGTGTATTTTTCAGTTAGGAATTAGAATCCCCCCCCCACCTCTATACATACAAAAGAATTTGGCTAGTGGAATAACTTTTGTCATAATATCGGTCCAGCATGCAAATAATATTTTCTGCAGTTCCAGCAAATCTATTTTAAAAAGTAATATTGAATGTTTTGAAATACATAATACTTTAATTTTTTTTTCTTCTCAACTTGCAAATGTACAACCATTACTAATATTTGTTGAGCTTTTCTTATAAATTGTATTTATAAATTAAGTCATAAAAGTTAATTTTATTTTTTTCTCAATTTTGTAAGGCCTGTAGATGTGGTAACACACATGAAAAATATTTAATTTTTGTTATTCTGGTAAAAACTACACATCTGCTGTTCCTCCTTTTTATTTTACTTCCAAATTTATTTTTATGACTAATAACAAATCCAACATTATCTGCTAGTAATCCACAAAGATAATCCAATGATTATTCTAATCTCACATGTTTTAAAACAATCAAATTGGAATTAGTGTGTCTTCAGACATAGATAATGATTGATAATCATAATTATGAATGCTATGACCTTTTTGATTTTTTTTTTTTTTTTTTTTGTATTTTGTGGCTGTGAAGTCATGGAAAGTATAACAGAGATAAGAAGAGATCAGTTAAGTATTGTTTACATAACAGTTTTTAATTTGCTCAAGCAATTTTGGATTTCTGTTTTTGATTTTCAACAGTTACTTTTTTATTTATGAAAAAATTTACACATTGCATTTTTCCGTGAGATTTGAATCCCAAAAAAGATTTTCAATGAAAACTTAAAATGTTTAATTTTTCTTTTCATCTAAATCATTAATCAGGATTCATTTTCCAATTACACTTCCAGGAAGAAATCACCAAAATTCTATATTGTGCCAAATAAAATATTTATTGAAGTTTAAGTATAAACTATAATTTAATTTTTCTACAAGACATTCTCAAAAAACAGTTTATATAATTCTCTCTCTGTAGTAAATTGACTAAATAAAAATTAACTTTTTTGTAGTTAATTTAATCTACTGTAATAAACAGTATGCCATTGGTGACAATTTCTCATGGTTATTCCATTTTTTGTATAGTTTTATAATTGAAAACAACAATGATGGAAAAATATGAATGGACCTTCTCTGCTGAAGTCTTTTTACTAAATAAAAAGTGTTCATAGTAAGTTTACTTGTGTTAAGTAAAAGATGAACTTTTTATTGTTGTAGAAACTTTCAACAATGTAAAAATTGTATTAATGTTTCTGTAAAGGTTTTCTTTCAGTACTTGTGACTATTTTAAGTGGAGCTCCAAATTTATTAATTTCTACTGAATATTGTTTTGTCTAAACATCAGTACAGAACTGACTAGAAGGTCCATTCATTGTATCCGCTTGTAATAATTGCAAAACATGTCCTCAATGAGGTTAAGTTTTGTTTGCTGAAAGAATGAAGCACCACATCGCCTCGGGTTTGGTTCACATGACTACTGGTAGCTCCGTAATAGTATGACTACTGGTAGCTCTGTAATAGTATGTGCTAAATAAGGATAAGTCCTCAATCTCCTCTCTATTCATTAAATTTGAGTTATTCTGCTGATAAAGCAGAATGCTTTGCTTGTAAATACTCTTCCAATTCTAGTCTTGACTCATCTGGAGTATTTTTTCCTGACTTTCTACTTATAACTGAGTCTCTGATATGTGTTATGCATATAAGTTTGTCCATTATTTGTCTATATTTCTGAGATGAGGTATTATGTACACTATTTACATTAGTCGGACTATTGTCCTCATCTTTGTCGGCATATTTATTACAACATTTCAGATCCTTCAGTATCTGTCTATATTTCTGAGATGAGGTATTATGTACACTATTTACATTATTCAGACTATTGGCCTCATCTTTGTCACCATATTTATTACAACATTTCAGCTGTTATATGCTCTGGTCATCTTCAGGTGGTTGGAATGTCGAACTGAACCCTTTATTTCGCTCACTGGGGTAGACTGTTCTAGTTCCACGTACCATGTCTAATGGATGACAGTTATCAATTATCTCCTCTAAATTCCCCTCTGCAAGTTCTCCACTGCCTGGCACAGTGGATAAAGGCATTGGTCAGATCCAGTGACAGGATCTAAAGAGTGTGAGTTCAATACCCGATTAAGGCAGTGGAGAACTTGCAGAGGGGAATTAACAGGAGATAACTGATAACTGACATCCATTAGAGATGGCACGTGGAACTAGAACAGTCTACTCCAGTGAGCGAAGTAAAGGGTTCAGTTCAACATTCCAACCACCTGAAGAAGGCCGAAGCGTACAATGTCTGAAATGTAATAAATATGGCGACAAAGATGCGGACAAAAGTCCGAATAATCTAAATAGTGAACTTTGTTCATGGTTTCTACTATCATCTCTAAATTTGATTCCTACAAAATATGCAAATCTGATGATAACCTTGCAATAGTCCAGAAGAAATGTGCTCTTGAAATGTCTCCTGTTTTTGCAAAACTCTACAATAAATGTCTTACTGCATCTTGCTTCCCTGCTTGTTGGAAATCCTCTTCTATCATTCCTGTCTCAAACTAAAGAACTCAGCTGAATCTTCTATCAGCCTATAGCCTACTACTTTTTGTTGGTAAAGTACTAGATTCTCTAATCAACTTCGAATTGGTTAAACATTTCACCTCTTAATGTCTTCTTTTAAACAATATGAATTGTGGTTCTCAAGGTCAACTGTTGATATGTTAATAGTTATTCCTGAAAGAATATGTCAAGAATAGTGAATCTCAAGTTGTTACTTTAGATATCTTGAAGTTTGGCATGCTGGTCTTCTTCACAAGTTGAAGTGTTATGATGTTTCTGGCTAAATTTTGATTTGATTCAATATTTCTTATCAAATGGTAAATTGAAAGTTTTCTTGGACGACCTCTTTTCTAGATCTTTTTGCATTAATGCAGGTGTCTCCTAGATCTCTATCCTTGGACCTACATTGTTTTTAAATTTCATCAATGACCTTCCTGATGTTATCAGTTCTCAACTTGGTATCTATGCTGATGACTGCTATTTACTCCTGCCTTAATGGTAAATCCGATTGGTTCAATATGGTCAAATTAGCAGTTAATCTTAAAAATAACCTTCAATTTATTGTTAACTGGGGTAATAAATGGCTTCTTAATTTCAACACCTCCAAAAAAAAATGTTCTCTTAATTGTCTTAGAGAATCTTTTTGGCCTTCTCTCAGCATGGCTGATGCTAACCACCAGGAGAGTAACTCATTGCACCTTCTCAGTGAAATGTCTTCTGCTGATATGAAGTCAAACAACTATATTGAATCAGTTGCTAGGAAAGTTGGTTCTCAGTATCATTTTAGGCAATTTTTCTCATCAGAATCTATCATGTCTTCATAAGTCTACTATTTTCTGGTCTGGTACTTCTGATTTGTATCTAGTTTCTTGACAAAATTAAAAATAAAATATGAAATATTACTCCTAACCTGACATCTTGGCTTCAGTCACTTTCCCAAGGCTTTAATGTAGCCTCCCTGTGCCTTTTCTATAAATATAAATTCATGATAATTGTTCTGATGAGCCTTCTTCTCTGATATCTCAAGTTCATGAATTTAAGCACAGCACTAGATTGAATTCCAGTCATTTACAGACAAATACCTTTGGGAAAGGTATGAATCCATCTCTTCTCCTCCTAGCTATGGGTTGAATAGCAGGACAGACTGGATTCTTTAGCCTTGGTCGGCAACCAGTCTACTGCAGAAAGAAATATCAACCTATTGCGTGAAAAAATCTGCCTTGTCAGTCATGTATTGAAAAGTACATGATCATCCAAGCATGTATCATGTATGGTACTTAACTGCTGCTACTGTTACTAGATTGGCAGGGAGGTCTCATCATTTGACTAAATCTAATCATAAGTTCAATTCTAATAGTTTCTTGTCTTGTACTTCTTGCTTGTGTAACCTCCCAGCTTCTTGTCAGCTATGATCTTCAAAACTCCTCTTCATTTATTGTCCTCTCTCCTCAGTAATTCCTTGCATCTTAGTGGCTTTATTGCCTTACTTGGAATGAAATGATTAAAACAAAAAAAAAAGTGAGATAATTATAATATTTGTGAAAATGGCCACAGATTACAATCACAATGTTGCCTTCATTGGGAAATGTACTTGTCCGCTTTTTATATTCAAAACTCTTGACAAGAGTGCATGGGTTGAGATGTCAGAAGAAAAATTGATAGCTTCAGGGTAGAGGTTGAAGAAATATTTGCTGCTAAGTCATGATGACCTTACAGCTGGATTAAATTTAGTAATAAAATTTTGTAAATTAGTCAAATCCACTTTTTAAGTAATAGCAGTTTCTTAAATTCCTTGTGGTAAGCTTCTGTCAAATTTGTTATGTGTTTATTTTTGAAGAAATGATAAATACTTAGCATGACTTAGCAGACAAGTGTTTGGAATAGATGGATTGCCATTGTGTAGCTTTTTAGGGTGGTCTTCAGGGACTGATGTTTTTATGATTAAAGACCTCTTTCAAAACCTAAAGACATTTGAAAATCCCCACAAAATGACAGAACTGGACTACAGTAAAATTAGGTCTTCTTGCAACAGCCTAACATGTAAAAGAAGAAAATACTTAAAGCTTCATTCTCTGAAGGTGAATGGATTCATAGGTCAATTTAACTTTGCTGACAATCAGTCAACACTGAAGATTGTCATTCTGATAGAAGATTAAAGATTAAACAAGATTGTCAAACCAGCAAA